CGTCCCATGAGCAGCTCCTGCCATCCCACAAACTGCTCTGCTCTACCAGCTGCTCCGCTCCGCTCACCAACCTGTGAGCTGCTCCAGCAGTCCCCGCAAATGGCTCCACTCACCATTCCTTGGGCCCCTCCAACTGTCCCCACAAGGCTCCGCTCCGCTCGCCATCCATACAAACTGCTCCGTCAACCGCTTAGCAATATAGCTTCAGGCTCCCCCACTAGTTAACACAGTGATCTCAGCTCTTAGTAACTTTAGCTCTTAGTGATTACACTAGTAGTAGGGGAGCCCTAGTGCTGGTACACCATTGGCCCAAAGTGAATTCCACATAGCAGCCTGTAACTAGACTCTCAATAGAATCAAAATTAGCTCTGCTATTCCACAGTGGTGATGCAATTGGTGTTTCAGGCCCTCAAAGGGCACCTGTGCCATCAGGCACAAATACCTGTCTCCCTCCTCTCTCAATTCATTGGGTTTTGGAACCCATGCCCCTTGTCTAGCGAGTGCTACTTAGTTAATGGTGAGTTCCTGTGGCATACAACAGTTCCAATGGCCTTGATTCACATAATCAGGGTAACAACACTTTATTCTTCCTTCCCCAATAACAGAGAAACTGGGGATCCCACACCAGCCAAAGTAACCACTTTCGGTTGCTGTGGGCTTATGCTAGGCATGTGGGTGTGCCTATGCAAACAAGATCAGCCTGAGGTTCTTTTCCACACTCGCCATAATTCACCACCAGATGTCAGGGTAGAGCTCATCCTGACTCTGCTTACATCTTACAGATCAAAGACCCTGGCTGTATAAAGGAGGGACTAAACTTTTAATGAGGGTGCTTGTCCTGAGGAACAGCTGTTATGAACTTGTGATCATAGAACGCTGCCTTGGTGGGGTTTGTAGGGCTGTTCACTTGCCCTGGCTGGAGTTAGGGTGGTCTCTGGTAAGCTTACTGGATTGCGTGTCTAAGTTCTTTTGTTGTTTTTAATAGATTTTCTCTGGCTATGTCTACACTGGCAATTGCATGACAAAACTTTTGTCTTTCAGAGGTGTTTAAAAAAAAACCCTGAAAGACAAAAGTTTTGGTGATGACAAGAGCCAGTGTGAACAGCGCTTTGTTAGCAGGAATGCTCTCCTGCCGATAACACAAATGCCACTCCTTGGGGATGGAAGTTTTTTGTCGTCAAGAGAGCCGACAAACAGCAGCTACGCTGCGCGACTATTTGCGGCACGGCTGTGGCGACACTGACATGTCGCTAAAAGCTGTGTAGTGTAGACATAGCCTCTGTAACGCTTTCACCTTAAGAATGAATGTACTTGTTTCGAAAGAGCTTTGTGGTGAGAAGTGGACAGTTATGCTGTTTATGACGTCTGAGGAGAAAGCAAATTAGGCCTGCTGGAGTAGTCTGACTTGCTAGGGAATTTGCAGTGTAGGCTGGCAGCTGTGCAACCTGGAAATACCCCAGTCAGGAAGGAGGGAGATGCAGGTCTCCACCCAAGAGGGGTGATGGCTGGGGAGCTGTAAGCCTAAGGGTGGGGAAGGGGAAACACAGGTGCAGTTGCCCTGAACTGTGACACACAATGTTCAGTGCCTTCAATCCAGATCTTCCTGGAGTTCTCACACTGTTGGAGGAAATACATTACATAAGTGTATTTCTACCTGTGGAGACCCTATATAATTCCTGGGCTCAAAGGGTTGGATACATTTTGTGCTCAGTTACTTTCAGTCAATCTGAACTATATGGCTCTGTCCTCACCCAGAGTCATGGATTTAATGGGCAGACAATACTGGTTTTTAAGGAAAATTTAAGAGTGCCTTATTCTTTCAATACCACAAAACAAAAATTAAACTTTCCATTTGGTACTATAAATGAGGCACTAACTATGTCTCCAGATATGGAAGATAGTCCCCCTCCATCTCTTCAATCGCTCAGTTCTTGGACTGAATTGCAGCTTGGACCAAACTTAGCTTTTTGCCTCCCTGATCTGGGGGATCTCAGTCTGCCAGTGGTGTAAACAAAAGGAGGTTCAGAGTTGCTCCACTTTATGCTGACTGCCAAAGGAAAACTAGAGGAGGCTCAGACATCCTTTACTTCATCACAGAAATTACAGAATTGTAGGGCTGAAGGGACCACAAGCGTTCTTCTAGTCCATCATCTCTGTGCTGAGGCAGCACCAAGTATACTTCAGCTATCCCTGATAGGTGTTTGTGCAACCTGTTCTTAATAACCTACAATGATGGGGATTCCACAACCTCCCTAGGTAACCTATTTCAAAGCTTGACTATCCTTACAGTCAGGAAGTTTTCCTACTATCTAATGTAAATCTCTGTTGTGACAAATCAAGCTGATTATTTCTTGTACTTTTCTCAGTGGACATGAGAACAATTGATCATCATCTCCTTCATAACAATATTTTGAAGACTGTTATCATGTTTGAAGACTGTTATCATGTTCCCCTCAGCCGCCTTTCCTCTAGAACAATCATTCCCTGTTCTTTCAACCTTCCTCATAGTTCATTATTTCTTAACCTCTTAGCATTCTTGTGCTCTGCTCTGGACTCTCTCCCAGTCATCCGAATCTTTCTTAAATTGTGGTGCCCAAAACTGGTCACAATACTCCAGTGGAGGCCTCACCAGAGCCAAGCAGAGCAGAACAATTGGCTCCTGTGTCATACATCTGACATTCCTGTTAATACAGAAGGACATTTGCCTTTTCACATTGTTGACTCATATTCAGTTTGTGATCCACTATAACCCCCAGATCTTGTTCTGCACTATTGCTACCTAGCCAGTTATTCCCCATTTTGTATGTGTACCTTTGATTTTTCCTTCCTAAGTATAGTACTTTGCAGTTGTCTTAATTGAATTTTTTCTGTTGATTTCAGACCAGTTCTCCAATTTACCAAGATCATTTTCAATTTCCAATCCCATCCTCCAAAGTGCTTTCAAGCCCTTCAGTTTGATGTCACCTGTCAATTTCATAAGTATAATCTCTATTCCATCATCCAAATCATTGATGAAAATATTATATAGTACAGTACCAAACAAAGACCTCCACAGGACTCCACTTGATACAGCCTCTCAGTTTGACAGCAAACCATTGATACCTACACTTTAAGTACAGTTTTTCAACCAGTTCTGCACCGATCTTATATTCATTTCACCTAGACCATATCCCTAGATTTTTTTAATGAGAATGTCATGTGGGATTTTGTCAAAAGCCTGACAAAAGTCAAGATATATTATGCCGTGTCTTGCAAGATATATTTATTTCAGTGGCCAGTGGCTCACAGGAACTGTCAGAGAGCTCTGAGGTATAAAGTTCACCTCTTTTTTGTTCAACAATGCTGCCTACACAAGCATGGGAAGGAAGGGTGGTGTGGGTGCTACTAAGGTTGCTCTGAACCGTACAATAGAATTTAGATGGTTGATTTGATCTTTTAAAGCTCTAACTGGATTGGGAATTGGTTATGTGATGAACCACATTGTTCGCTGTCTGACACTTAAACAGCAATGGTCAGCAGGAGTGGGAACTCCTTTGTGCTTTGTGAGAGGGGGAATCAGGGATTTATATGTTGGAAAAACAGAAGAAAAAATTGTCCTGCACCATGAAAAGGAAAAGCAGAACTGAGTTTTTAAATGCTGTGAAGAAGACTCTGGTTAGGTTCCTCAATTCAACCCATGAGGTCAAGTCTTGAAGACCTTATTATTGTAGTCGGCCGTGGCTCCCATCCATGGCTTGGTCTCTGCCAGGCAGGAGCAGCTCCTACTCCATGGGGACGAGGAGCAGCCCATGGCCCCCCTGCATCTGCCTTTTCAAGCAATCTCTGCCTGTGTCTGTGTAGACTTCCTGTCATGTCCTTACCTTGCTTTTGAAGTGCAGTTTGCACAGCTTCCTGTCTGAACCACAAACACCAGTGGAAGTCCTCACTGATATGAGGGGCTTGCTTAAAGCTATATTACCAATTGTATTCATGCTTATGAATATGTAAGTAATATGTAAGGAGTGAGTGAGATAGTATGCGTGTAAGAAACCAGTTACAAGGCTTGAACTGAAATATTACTATGTAAGGATAATCAAGGTGTATATGGGACTGTATATAAACCTATGGCAGTAGTGGCCAGAGAGAGATGTAACCCACGACAGCAAGAACTCAGGACCGGACCAGAAGAAGTAGAGTCCTCCCGCAGATCCAAAGGGATTCCGCTGGGTCTTGTCACCTAGTGGTTCGATCTCTGGGAAGCTGAAACCTGGCCAGTCTCAGTCACCTAAGATCGAAAGCAACACTTTCATCTACAGCCTGTCACCAGTATGCATGGAATGTGTGTGTGAGTATAATTGTGCAAATAAGGGAAGCAAGCAATACATTAACCCTCAGTACTGCTTCAATTTGACCTTTGTTTGTGTTTATTTCTTGCCCTGAGCATTGGCCTGCTAAACCCAGGGTTGTGAGTTCAATCCTTGAGGGGGCCATTTAGGGATCTGGGGCAAAAATCTGTCAGGGATGGTACCTTGGTCCTGCTGTGAAGGCAGGGGACTGGACTCGATGACCTTTCAAGGTCCCTTACAGTTCTATGAGATAGGTATAACTCCATATTAATTATCAGTTACATCATATGAATTTGTCCTGCGCCATTCCCTCACAGGACAGCCAGCCCCCATATCATCAGTTCGCTGTGGGATGCATAGATTTAAATGTATCTGTGGGGGCCAGGACCCTCAGTGTAGAAAACGTTTTGAATGGGCCATGTGATATTTTAGTTTAGAAGAGTGCATCAACTTTTAGAGGATTTGAGTATTAACTTCCCTTAGCTTATATGCTCTCTGCATTTGATCATAATAACTCTCCTAGTTTGTTCATACAACTGAGCTCCACATTTGAGGGTGTTAGCCTCTTCCTAAAGCTGAGGTGCATCATGTCAGTGACATTACTGAGCTCTGTGTTCTCAGAGAAAGAGTTGCCTTCACGTGTGTCATCTGTTTTCTTTGTATATCTGTCTCTAGTATTTCTTCAGCTCTTTCTCCTTGTGGCATTCCCGAGCTTGGAGAGCCTGCCTGGCAAACTGAAGAAGTGGGAACAATGCTTCAATGACCCTGACTATGACGAACTGGTGGATATTGCCAAAAACGGATTGGAGAAAAAGTGTAATTCAAAGAAGGTGGTGATTGTTGGGGCAGGAATCAGTGGACTCACAGCTGCCAAATTGTTGAGAGATGCTGGTTGCAAGGTAATTCTATCGACTGAGAGGAGCCAGAGAAAGGCCAGAGAGTCCGTGCTTCCTTGAAATAGTCTTATTGTTTCTTTTTCAAAGCATTAACAATGCAGAAGAACCAAAGGAGGTGAACTTAAGTAAGCTGGGTGAACTAAGAAAAGAAGAAAGAAGGATGGCAGATTTTTTTTTATTTCCAGACAAAAAGTTAATTGACTTAAACTTAAGATTGTTAGTAAAATAACAACATAACCAAAAGAAAAAATAATAATGTTCTAACAAATAACCCTGCAATCACTGTATTTTATGAAGATGGTGAATAGTTAAGGAAATGTTCCAAAAGACTCAAACACTTCACTATAACCCCTTTACAGTCCACGTGTTTCTAACAAAATTCTCTGTGAGAAAATTGATATTAGCCATTCCATAACAACCTTAATTTGCAACCTGGTCTTTTTTGTTTGTTTTGTTTTTCCAAGGAGCTACTCTATTGGTCCTCCTGTTAGCCTTGGGAAAGACTGAAATCTACTATCCCTATCCACTGCCTACACATCCACAACTCTCCCTCTAGAGAGCACCCATGAACTACAGCCCCCCAAGGCTGGAAAAATCAACAGAGCTCACTTGTGCACTTAGACTTTAAGTGCTTAGTTGATGTTCTAAACACTTTCTCATTGAAAATCTGTTACTTACAATACATGGGAAAGGCTACTATTAGTGTAAAAACTACCAGATTAGAATCTGATCCTTGAGATCTCAGTTCAGAAATACATCTCTATTTAGAAAAGCTGCTTGAGTACATACTTACATTGAGCACATGCTTAAATCCTAGGGAGTTCAAATTCAAGTTTAGCATATGCTTACTCATTTTCCTGAATCAATGCCTGAGTGCTTACTTACTGTCCAAAATTACTTCTATAAAATATTAATTTTATTTCTGTGATGACCAAATCATCCTTTACCATACAAGAAAGAAATATACCGACAAGGGATTGAAAATGATGGCCTGTGTTCCATGTTCCTAGGTTCTGATTCTGGAAGCCAGTGGCCGCTTGGGAGGGCGCATCGAGACCTATCGAGAACGAGATTGGTACATGGATCTGGGACCCATGCGTTTGCCAAAACATCACAGGTAATATACAGTTCGCCCTGCTCAGCCACCAACCTTGTTCAGAATAGTGGAAATCCCATTTTAAAGATTTTTATGATAATTCCTAGGGAAAAAAATCTTTGGAGGTACAGATTTGAATAGTTAAAATACCCTTTTATTCTCTCATGTGGACTACAAGCACTACGTTGAATCATCAGTCTATCTGCAGGAAGGAGAAAAATTGGAGCTGTTACTCTTTTTGCACAAAGGGGCTGGGAGTGGGTGGGCTGAAGCAGAGAGTGGGTTAAGTAATGGCTTGCTACTGCACCAGCCAGTGCAACTAAATGACCATAGAGATCCCAGGGCCCAGGATTACTCCAAATTAATTCCCCCAGAAGCAAAATGGAACCAAAGATTTGGCTGTGGCTGCTCAGGCAGTCGCAGACAAACATTTCATTTCAAGTCAGCCCACCAAACTGAAACATTTTGATTTGCGAATGTCTAGATGTTTTGACATTTATGTTCAGAACCTTTCATCACACTCTGGGATGAAAACAACATGAAAATACCAGTATTTCTCTCGCAATAGAATAACAGTTTTCACAAACAGCTCTACTTATGAGTCTGCTACTCCCTTACCCTGTAGCTCAACCACTGCAGGGTTTTGTTTTAAATCCTTAGGTCCCAGGTTCAATCCCTGCAGATACACCCCCTAGTAGTGTTATTACAAATACATGTATATATCTGATCTTTTTTTGCTCTGAAGAATTTTAGGAATGGGACGTTTTTGCTGTCATGTGTCTTGTAATGAGTGAGAAAGAGTCTGATTTTACAATTAGTAGATGTAATACTTGATCATCATGTGTAATCATTGAAGTCAATGGGACTGTTCTGATTGGAAGAGATGGTCAAAATTTTTCAAGCAAAAAGTATTTTTCATTGAAAAATGGCATTTCCTGTTTTTACCAATGTTTTTCATGACACATTTACCTACATTTTTTATTGGAAACAAATCATTATTTAAATACTTATCAATGTTGCTCATTTACTGAAAACTTGGGTTTGTAGTACATTTCCCCCCCCCCATTTTTTTAATTAAGAAGTTGTGAAAGTGAGTCTGATGTGAGCCCTGCAAAACTGAAATAATGTCAATATTTCAAAAATTTTCACAATTGAAAAAAGTTAACAGCACTAGTTGCATGATTGTTTTCAGGTGAAATATATCTTTAGGGTCACATACCCATAAATAATTTCAATTACATAGGTAGGAGCCATCTGATTTTTGTTAGAGGATCATATATGAGCATATAAAATTCTTTCACATTTTTGACATTTTCTTTTTGTCTCCTCTTTCCTTTATCTCTAGGATTGTGCGTGAATTTATCAAACAATTTAGACTTAAACTGAATACATTCTATAATACTGATGCGAATGCCTGGTATTTGGTTAACAATGTCAGAGCAAGATATAAAGATGTGGAAAAAAACCCTGATATCTTGCGGTACCCTGTGCATCCCGCAGAGAAGGGAAAATCTGCCACTCAACTTTATGAGCAGACACTGGATAAGGTATGTGTGTTGTGGAATGGAATCATGTACTGTAGGTAGGTCTTCACTTCAAAGTTAGCATGGGGTGTTCATCAGATTTTGGCCCTAAACCTGTCTCATCCACAGACACAAAACCATCTCGCTCAAGTTGAAGAGTCCTTTCAACCCAGGCTAGCTGGCAGAGCTTGAGTTTTAGGTGCTGACCTGCCTGAGAGACAGTGCTTAATTTGTGCCAGGGCTTGCCAAGACTGAGCCCTGGCACCTCTAGGTTAGGAAGTTCATAACCTCGGCATTACTGGGCTTGCTACATCAGTTATGAATGTAAAAAAAAATTGCTTGAACATTTCATTAAAAATTAAGCCCTGCTGAGAGGAGTAAGGCTTAGGACACACCCCTCTCCTTGGCATCTCCCATTGGCTCATTTAAGTGACTTGGCATGCTAGCTTTTGTGGTTCCCATTCTTGGGTGTTATCTCCTTCCATTCATCAGGTAGGAACCTGAGCGTCTAACTCAGACTTTGTGAATCCCAGTGCATTTCTAGGCACTTACTTGTTAGGTATTGCAATACTGAGCATGCAATGCTTAAGTCCCTGTGGGAATCTAGGCCCAGATGTTTAAAGATAACTGACTGAGGAGCCTACATCTCATATTTAAAAGGGATTTAGGCACTTAGGATTCCCATAGACAGTCAATGGGATTGAGATGATTAAGTATGGGATTCACAAAGATATTTAGGCTCCTAACTCCAATCAATTACAAAGGGAGTTAGGCACTTAAATCGCTTTGTCAATCGCACCATCTCAAAATGAGACTTAGTCTCCTAAATCAGTGTGTCAATGAGCACAGCAATGTCTTTCAAAATGTGGGCCCTAGCACCTAGTGGTTTTTTCACAAGACCGACATTCCTAACTCCCACTTATTTTAATGACAATTAGATTCCTAAATGCTTTGCGAATCCCAACCCAATATGCTTTCAAAAATCCCAGAAGGTGGTTATTGGCATCTCTGGATGCCTAAATATCTTTGAAAATCTGCCCCCCCTCCCGAGTACCTAAGTCACTTATGAAAATGAGAGTTAAGGCCCCAAATTAATTTAGGCACTACTAAAAGGTTTCCCTTTGGTCTATTTATTTTTTATATTTTAGAAAGTCTGAGTGAAAGCAGTTCAGTTAGCTAGAGAACCGTAGAAGTGGAAAACAAAAAGCTACCTTACCCTTATTAAAACAATCTTGTTAACAGCTCTTTCACCTGAGCAGTCATTTCATGTCCCGCCCCCTTGTTCATATGCACTAGGACACTGTCTTTAATACGACCCTATCAAATTCATGGTCCATTCTGGTCAATTTCATGGCCATAGGATTTGAAAATTAATCAATTTCATGTTTTCAGATGTTTACATCTGAAATTTCATGGAGTGGTAACTCTGGGGGGTCCCGATCCAAAGGAGGCCGGTGAGGATGGGGGGGTGTTGCAAAGCTGTTGAGGAGGGGTTGTGGGATTGCCACCCTCACTTCTGTGCTGCCTTCACAACAGTACCCTCTGGAGCTTTCTGCAGCTGCAAGAGGTTTCTGGAGGTGGAGCTGGGTCTGATCTCCCCTGTGCTGCTGGGAGTGCCCCAGCTGGGGGCTCCTAACTGCTCGTCTCGGCCGGGCTGAGGGGGAGATCCCGGTGTAGATATCCAGAGGTGGGTCTGATCTCCACCCCAGAGTGGATGCACAGGGGAAGGGTTAGTCACATCCCTCCCCAGCCCAGAGGAGACTAGCAACTGGAGCCGGGGGGCCAGTAAGAGCCCTGTCCCTGCCTCTGATTCCACTGTCCGTGAATTTGGTAGAGCCCTAGTCTGTAAGTACATAATCACATAGGGGTGGGGTAAGGGGGGGAAGGAGAACCTTTAAAGGCAGAGCCATGATCATGAAACAAATGACTGTTTTCTTGTTTGCTCCCCAGGTGACAACAGACTGCAGTGCTCTGAAAGAGAAGTATGATTCCTTTTCCACCAAGGTAATGGAAATTGGCATTCCAGTATCTTTGAATCTAAATGTTTCTAGTTTCCTAAACCTTTCATTACATTAGCCAATAGAACTCCTTGTGGGATAGATCTTGCCACATGCACACAGTCATGGTAGAAGATAATGCATGGGACTTCTCCTAAAGATCCTGGCTGGGCAGAGGTAGTACATTCTATTCATGGATCTTCAGGGTACATACAGGGGACTTCCCCCTTGGGTCTTCCTGGCTCTGCTTTCCGGCAAGAGGAGGGCAGGGACATGGATCCACGTTATCTCTGATTCTCTCTACCCAAAACACCAGCCCATAGAAAGCAAGCAGTCTTGGTGCTCCCATACACCCAGTGTTTGAGTCGTGAAGACAGGACTCTCCTCCACTCCTCTGTAATAGATTTAGCATCTCTGTTTCCCATCCCAGCTGACATCCAGTTTTGTATCCTCATCCACAGTTATTTGAATGAGACAACCTTCCTCTGTCTTCCTCCCACTGTTACTTTTACCCTATAAGAGGTGTTGTCTGGACCACAGTTCTCTAATCCAAGGTAATTAAACTGTGGTATGGACACTATGGATGAAATCCTGTGCTCATTGAAGTCAATGGCAAAGCTCCCATTGACTTCACTGAGATCAGGATTTCATCCTGTGAATGGAAAAGGGTGAGGGATTGTGTCTTGAAAGTGAGCATCAACCTTACTTTAATGATTGGTTACGAGGAAGCAGACAAATCACACAGGGGAGTAGTGAATAGGTTTGACCACTGCCCATCTCTAATGCATACTGAATAATTTCTGTGCTCATCTGCAATGAAATATCTCTGTGGCTGTCGTTTCTAAATGAGGATATAATATGCATACACTTTCCACCCTCTCCACTCTTCCCCATCCAGGAGTATTTGATTAAAGAAGGAAATTTAAGTAGAGGAGCCATCGACATGATTGGTGACTTGCTGAATGAAGATGGTAGATTTTACATGTCATTTCTTCACTCAGTCATGACTCAAGTTATCTTCTCCAACAACAGGTGAGAAGAAATGAATCTATTTACTTGCTTTATATTTGGAAGAACATGTGCCTGTGGTAGGATCTGTCTACCTAACCATCCATTTTTAAATACCTCTGCAACCTCATTCTATCTCATCCATCTATCATCCCTTCTATCAATGCAGCTGGTTACCTTCTTTCACAAAGGCACTGTTGATCTCAGTAGTCACAGAGGGTATGTGTATAATTCACTAGCCATGAAATGCAAAGATCCCTTCACACAGGGTGAGCAGGATATTACTGAAAGAGTCCATGGCTTCTAGCTGGGTGGGTTCCTATGGAATTCAATAATTAACTCAAGTGTGTATGTGCTATGGGCATATTGGGGCAGAGCTCTGTTGTATCTCACGAACCCTTTTGTTAAATGACCCCAAATTAGGATCACTAATTCTACCCACAATCCTATGAAACATACCTTATTCCAAGGCAATGTGAGTAATCATGAGGTTTCTAGAGCATTTGGAAGAGTGAATCTTCAATCATAGAACTGGTCTTCACCTTAACTGCAGCAGACCTGGCACTCTGCTAGACGCTGGAGCTGGAGAATCAGTGGAGAGTAGCTTGTATCTTCAGCTATGAAGCTCCTTACAGCTCTCCTCATAATTATTCTTCTTGTGAAATTCATTCAGATAACTTGTCAGAGGATGTCATTGTTTTACCATAATCTCTTTTCCCTCTTTCTTTCAGTTACGATGAGATAACAGGGGGATTCGATCAACTTTCTAATGCTTTCTACCAGTATATTCATGGGAGTATTCAGTTTCACTCTCCAGTAGTGAAGATACTAACCAAGGGTGACCAAGTGAGAGTGTTTTACCGTAGGGCAAACACATTGGTCCCCTTATCTGTAACGGCCGACTATGTTCTTGTCACAACCACGGCAAAAGCTGCACGGCTCATTAAATTTTCTCCACCTCTTTCTCCTCTCAAGACCCATGCCCTGCGCTCCATTCACTACTCAAAGGACGTTAAGATTGCTTTGGCCTGTACTAAAAAGTTTTGGGAGAAGGATGGAATCCATGGCGGGAGATCAATCACTGATCGCCCATCCAGATTCATCTACTACCCCAGCCACAATTTCCCCAGTGGCCTGGGCGTGATCCTGGCTTCCTACACTTGGGGCGATGATGCTGAAATCTTTATTTCCCTTAGTGATGAAAAGTGTGTTGATGTGGTGCTGGAGGACCTGGCAGAAATCCACCAGGTGCCCAAAGATTATATCCGGAGTGTCTGCAATAAATATGTGATCAAGAAATGGGGCCTGGACAGATATTCCATGGGCTCATATGTTTCCTTCACCCAGTACCAATATGTCGACTACTCCAAGGCTCTGTTTCAGAATGAAGGAAGAATCCATTTTTCAGGAGAACTCACAGCCCAGCCTCATGCCTGGATCGACACCGCTATGAAATCTGCTTTGAGAGCAGCCAGGAACATCCATGCTGTTATTAACGCCTCACCGGGGCAGCAACATGAGCTGAAGGAAAATGAACTTTAATCGATTCAATAACTGTAATAGTGAGGGTGTTTGGGGAAGGGACAAATGAACCAGCTAGCACTTGGGGAATTAGAAATTGCACCACTAATCAACATGCACTACTCGATTGTTACTTGAGGTTCAGCCCTGAAGGGGTGGTGCATAAATTGCCTGCACCAGCATTAGACTATTACTCACAGTGCTGAGCTGTCTCAGTCACTCTGCTTAGCTCCCAGAGGGTGAAGCCGAGGTTGTGCCCAGTCCCTGCCCAGTCCCCTTGCACCCACATGCTCTAGGAAGATGATAAGTGAGCAAGTAGCTTCACTTAGTCCTAGGTCTGGGTGTCCCATGCAGGAGTGTGAAGGGGCTTCTGACTCCCCCTGACTTAATCAGTCACATAATCTTAACCACAGCCTACATAGCATGGAAACTGTGGTTGTTCTGCCTCCCTCCTCTGGAGCCAGCCACAAGTCCAGCCCTTGCTGATCCCATCAGCCACCTCAGCACTCCCCAAAGGAATAGCTGCACAGAACAGCATATGTCCTGGTCTCCAAACCAGTGGCAAAGTCTCTGCACTCCCTTGGAGATCCTTGCAGAAAAAAAATGTTTCTTGCATCGCACCCCATTCAGATCTCTGCCTCACTGACCCAATCTGTCCATTGGTGAAAAGGGGTGTGATTATGGTCCTGGTCTTTCCATGATCTACCTGTGTGGAAGACAGTGTGATGTATATAGATGTCAACTATCTCTTGAAAATATTGTTAATAACTACATGCCCTTGTGGTTTGCAAGGTTAAAATCTGAATACATTCTTCTCTCAGTACCACAGCAAAAATTTGCACCATCCCATTTTACCCCAAAATCATGCTTAGCCACTTCTAACTCTAGCTAAAAAATTAAAACAACAGGTGAACACCACTTCACACCCCAGGGTATGAAACATATTGTCTAAGGAATCCCAGAAAAATTGAAATTGGTACTGAATCATTCTCCATTCCACCCCCAAAGATTAAAAGATGGGATATTTAATTAATATTGTCAAACTACTGTTAGTTACTGGGACAGAAGAGTCTCAGAAATTTACATATGGATGAGATTCCTTTTTCTGCCCTGTAGTTAGTTGAAACACCCTCCCTGAAGATTGACAATTAAGCGTAAAATTCTGTTTTCCTAAATATTGGCCCATTCAGTCCTCTGAATCAAAGAAGTCACAGATATGTGAATGGGAACTGTAGATCTGAATTGACTAGAAGAAACTTGCTGTTTAACCCCAGGAAGCAGGAAGAAGATGAATAGATAAAATGTCCCAATACCCCAGAATATGAACGCCCTGTTTTTCAACACAAATTAAAAAAACAAAACAAAATAAACAAACAAAACTCTACTCTCATCTTCCTTGTGAGTCTGATATACCAACTCTACATGTGGCTAATCTGCCTTGTTCCTCCAACAGGCTCTCTTATTCTGTTCTAAATACCAAAAGAATGTGAAATGAAATGTATCTGATATCATCTTTGTATTGGATATTTATTTCTCTGCCTCCCCCACCCTTTCTTCTCTGCTTTCTAATTAAAAGATCTATGAGAAAAGTACAAAAGTGAGTACAGAAAAAAACTAATTCGGGGGGGGGGATATTTTAGAAAGTAGAGGAAAATGGGCAAAATAATAATCTTTGAATTACAACTTCTCTATCAGATGACTGGAGGACAGCTAATGTAACATCATTTAAAAAAAAAAACTCCAGAGGCAATCTTGGCAATTACAGGCTGGTAAACCTAACTTCAGTTCTGGGCAAATTGGTTGAAACTATAGTAAAGAACAGAATTTTCAGACACATCGATGAACACAACTTGTTGGGGAAGAGTCAACATGTTTTTTTGTAAAGGGAAATCAAGCCTCACCAATCTACTAGAATTCTTTGAGGGGGTCAACAAGCATGTGGACAAGGGGGATCCAGTGAATATAATGTATTTAGATCTTCAGAAAGCCAAAGTCCCTCACAAAAGGCTCTTAAGCAAAGTAAACTACCATGGGATAAGAGGGAAGGTTCTCTCCTAGATCAGTAACTGATTAAAAGATAGGAAACAAAGGGAAGGAACAAATGGTCATTTTTCAGAATGGAGAGAGGTAAATAGTGGTGTCCCCCAGGGGTCTGTACTGGAACCAGTCCTATTAAACATAATCATAAATCATCTGGGGAAAGGGGTAAATAGTGAGGTGGCAACATTTGTAGATGATACAAAACTACTCAAGATAGTTAAATCCAGAGTAGACTGCAAAGAGTTGTGGAAGTGGAATTTGAACATACAGATCTTAATCTCTAGGAATAGAGCAAGAGTGAGGCTGACACTAACTCTAATAACACGAGACTTGAAGGCCTAGGCGAGTAGAAAGCAAATGGGAACGCACTGTAAGAGATACTGTTTTGACCTTGTGTTAGATAAGAATGGAATGTAGACTGTGGCAGAAATTAATGAGAAAAGTGAGATATCAGGAAGAAAAATGCATAACAAAATACAGCTGTTGCTCATTATTGTATGTAATGAAAGGTATAAAAGCTCGCCTAATTGTTTACCTAACGGAGACCTGCCCGTGGGTACTCTCCCGTACATATTGCAATTGCTTGAAATAAACCTGCCTCTGGCTTTTTGCTCCAAACTCAGAATAAGGACTCGTTTTTCTCCCACAATTTGGTGCCATGACTCGGAGGGCAAACGCCCAGCTGGGACAGCGACCAATTACTCAAACTGTTCCCCTGCGAACCCCATGGCACCATAATAGTGGTAAGAGACCTTTTGAAATCTCTATTGGGATGTCGCAGGAGACTGCTCGTGGGGCCGTCTGTCCCTTTGGGGCTCACGACATCCAAACTTATTGTTTTGCAACAAGACCAGATGCAGCGCGGTTCTGAGGAATTTGTTGCCGGCCTCAAGTAAGATTAGTCATTGTGGTTCTGAGGAATAATTTTTTGCCGCCCTCAAGTAGGTTAGTTATTGTAGTTCTGAGGTCCTCAATAAGGTTAATGCACCAGTGCTGAGGGGTTTTTACCACCTCAAAATAAGGGAAAGGTTGTATTGAGTCCGGACATAATGAAATAAGGTTATTGTTAAATGAGATGCATCAAGATATGGGGAATGAATGTGTGTGTGTGTGTGTGAATGAATGAATGAAGGGGGGGTATGAGCCACTGACCAGGTCTAAGACTAAGCTGGGCTCCCACATACCGAATCCTGCCGGGTCTGTGGGGAGGATGCATGTGGGATTGGATAATTCCCTGTGCTATTTGGGAAATTAAACCACCTGGTATGCCTAACCGATTTATAGTCAGTGCTCCTGGAATAACACCCGACATTTGGATAGGGATAGGGAGTCAATGGACACTCTGGCCGTTAGAACCCCACAGCTTCAGTGCGTACATAAACTGAAGCCTGGGGAAGTTGTCACTGTTCATGACAATGTTTGTTGGAAGGGTATGGGACAAGGAACTACCCTGACAGGACACCTGCTTTTCCAAGCTAATGATAGCTGTGTGCATGTTAAGGCCACCACTTTGCAGGACATACATTTTAATCTTACCACTGCTGCAGGCAATTATATTATTTATTGGCCTATGGATAGAATTTTACAATCAGCCCATAAGTTTCAGATACCCTTTAATTGGACTGTCTTAGCACCTGATCAGTTCCAAAATTTGCTTTCACTCCTACCAGAAGTCCAGAAAATTTCTGAATTACAAGGGAAAATTCATATGCTCCAAAACATATATCAAATTTAAAAGTATGCTTTCCGTACAGCCTATAGAGTGTCTATTTATGTACTAAGTATGATGTATTGTGTTTTGTGACTAAGGTTATATAACAACCCCATCATATTATTATAATAGGAATGTTAATGTTTTCAGTGTTGTTGTTTAGTTTAGGATTATGTTACTGTTGTTGTAAAGGACGTAATAATACTAGCACCTTCCATGTTCATACGAACCATGCATTGTCGTTGCATCCAACCAAAACTCATAAGACTGAACCATTTGATCTGGAATCAGAAATACAAGGTTTGATGAAAATGGAGGTTTAAGACTGATAGTTGTGCTGAAAGCACAAAAGGGTTGTGTAGAAGTGGAGAAAGGGATAAAGGGAATTTGAACATACAGATCTTAGTCTCTAGGAATAGAGCAAGAGTCAGGCTAACAAAGTCACGCTGACACTGACTCTAATAACGCGAGACTTGAAGGCCTAGGCGAGTAGAAAGCAAATGGAAACACACTGTAAGAGATACTGTTTTGACCTTGTGTTAGATAAGAATGGAATGTAGACTGTGGCAGAAATTAATGAGAAAAGTGAGATATCAGGAAGAAAAATGTATAACAAAATACAGCTGTTGCTCATTATTGTATGTAATGAAAGGTATAAAAGCTTGCCTAATTGTTTACCTAATGGAGACCTGCCCATGGGTACTCTCCCGTACATATTGCAATTGCTTGAAATAAACCTGCCTCTGGCTTGTTGCTCCAAACTCAGAGTGAGGATTTGTTTTTCTCCCACAAAGTTAAAAAGGGACCTCAAACAACTGGGTGGCTGGGCAACAAAATGGCAGATGAAATTCAATGTTGATAAATGCAAAGTAATGCACATTAGAGAACATAATCTGAATTATACATATAAAATGATAGAGTCTAAAGAAAGGGATAGATAATATGAAAGAAAATATTATATTGCGTCTATATAAATCCATGGTACGCCCACATCTTAAACACTGAGTGTAGATGTGATCGTCCCATCTCAAAAAAGATATATTGGAATTGGAAAAGGTTCAGAAAAGGGCAACAAAAATGATTAGGAGTATGGAACAGTTTCTATATGCAGGGAGATTAATAAGACTGGTCCTTTTCAGCTTGGAAAAGAGACAATTGAGGGGGGATATGATAGAGGTCTATAAAATCATGATTGGTGTGGAGAAAGTAAATAAGGAAGTGTTATTTACTCCTTCTCATAACACAAGAACTAAGGGTCATTGAATGAAATTACTAGGCAGCAGGTTTAAAACAAACAAAAGGAAGTATTTCTTCACACAATGCAGAGTCAAACTATGGAACTCTTTGCCAGAGGATGTTGTGAAGACCAAAACTATAACAGGGTTCAAAAAAGAACTAGATAAATTCATGGAGGATAGGTCCATCAATGGCTATTAGCCAGGATGGACAGGGATGGTGTCCTTCTGGCCTCTGTTTGCCAGAAGCTGGGAATGGGTGACAGAGGATGGATCATTTGATGATTACCTGTTCTGTTCATTCCCTCTGAAGCACCTGGCATTGGCCAGTATTAGAAGACAGGATAGTGGGCTAGATGGACCTTTTGTTAGCTCCAGTATGGCTGTTCTTATGTACCAACTGGAAAAGTGTGAAAAATGTGTTTTTTCCCAAACCTAATCATAAGTATTTTTAAAAGATGTTTTCACCATGTATCATTTGGAAAAAAGTAAAGACGTAATACAAAGAATAATTCTCTACCTACGTTCTTATCCTTTTTTCCTTTTCTCCTTTTGAAAGACTATAAAAGGGAGAAAGAGCAGGAAAATAAAATTTAAAAAAAACTGAAAAAGGAAAATGTTTTGTCTTGGTTTCCAAAATCCAAACGGAAATGATATTTTAATTCAAAATGTGGAAATGTGAGACATTATTTAAAATTAATCATTCATTGTTGAGCGCATATTATCTTTCAAGAATGATAAAGCTAAAAATAAATTATCAAATGTTTAGAAACCAAGAAAGATTTAAAGTTGTGCTTTTCAAACAAGGCACCCAAACTACTTGAGTTCTTTCCCAATAGAAATGGCAGCCCTACATCCTGGAACTGACATGGTTACAACAACATTGCCTACAGCCACACATCCTTCTTTGTAGCATGTAACACATGTGCATCACAGAAAATTGGCTTTGCTACTTGTTTCATATATTATTGTCTCTGATACTGAGCATACTGCTGTGACCGGGTGCCTGGATGGGCCACACTGAGA